TTTTTTCACGATCCTGCTCCCTCCATTCCAAGTTGTTCCAAAAGTTGATGACAATTCCTCGGACAATGTTGTCGCTCAAATCGTTTTCCTCTCATTTTTGCTCCCACTCCCCCCCCACACCCTTCACCTATGGGATGTCTGCCTGTACATTTGTATGTGTGTGTAGTCATTTTCTGTATATTACAACAAGTACTAGCCAGTGTTTTATTAAGGTTTTAATCAGAATAAACAATGTGGCTCTGCGTATGTGTACCCGTTAGTGTGGTGGTATTTGTGTAGTACACGCTAGTTCAATTTATATGTATTTCTAGTTCTTTCTTCTTCTTTTTTTCTCCCCCCTCCCCTCCGTCCTTCCTTCATGCACATGCCACAACTGGCTTACCCAGGCTTCTCCTGATTGGTCAAGCATTCATTTGTCCATGATTTTGACACGACTTGCACCACGCAAACTATCAAAAGAAAAGTTTTCCTTTACGTAGACACCCTGCACCCTGAATGCTTTTCCTCTTGGGTCTTTCCTACTTACCCACGTTGGCTCGGCTACTTCCTGCTTCCTGTCTCGGCTGTCCTGGCGGCGAAAATTGTGAAAAGATTTCAACGGCTGCTCTGTCTCCTCCTCGTTTTATCGTTTTAGGACTAATTTCTGTGGAAAGATGCTGTTTCTTTACACAAATCAAATAACTTCATGTGAGGAGTTGTTTTAGTAGAGATTTTGTGGGTTCTTTTTTTGGGGTTTTTTTTTTGGGGGGGGGGTTAGTGGGTAGGGTTGGTATTTATAACGTTCCATAGATTGCACAATTTCCTTTAGACTGGCTGTAGTGTGTTTTTTTACTGCGGGTGTGTTGGTGCTGTGTCGTGCGCGGCTCACTTCTGAAAGTGGACTTAGGTAAGAGTTGAGCGTTTGGGCTGGATTATGATGGTGTGCAGTTACACTGGTATATGATTCAATACTTGTTTTTTAGTCTTTCCATCTTTTCGTGTTGGGAGATCTGTTTTTTTTTTTTTTTTAAAGTTTAGTGCAAAAAGTTGTCCTAGTCATTTATTGTGCACTAGCATGGAAAAGGTGAATGGTCGAACAATGCCGTGAGACTTGGGATTGTGTCGTGCAAAAACGTGAATTGACTTGCGTGTTTCATGACATTTTGTTGTTACGAATATTCTAAAGACTAGAGTCGTCGACGTGATGTGCATCTGAATGTTGGATGGTCTAAATGGATCGTGGGTTGTGTTGTGGTTTAGTATCATGTGAAAAACTCTGGCAAATTGTGGGCTTGCTTTCCAACCCTTCCTGCCACAACGGGACCATTGGTTTTTTCTGTATTTTCTTCTTTTTTTTCCACCATTTATCCTTTAAATTTTTTTCTTCTTGCAATGAAAATGTGGGTAATGTGTTCACTGTGTGTGGTGAATGCCCAGCTTGTGAGGAATGTATGGTGAGGGGTGCTGGTCCAGATGTGCGTGTGCGTGTATTATGCATGTGTGTATGTGCGCATGTTTATAATTGAACTGCGATTGCTTCCGTGTACGAGAATTGTGAGCACAAAAGTAACTATACTGTATTTATATTCATCACATAGCTCTTCACGTTATCATTTATTCAGATGTGAATATCTTTACACAAAAAAAACAACTTGGGTCTAATGTAATCCATTGTGTTTCGATTTTGGGACCGAATGTGGATGTGACTGCCGAGGTTTGTTCTTTCTTGTACAGGAAAATTGTCTGGCATTTTGTGTGGGTTTCTCTCTCTCTACAGCTGTGATTTCACGTTACCATGTCTCCGTCTACGGGCGGGCTGGATGGATATGCTGTCTGCTTTCTCTATTTCACCGATGATTGATTCATGCGAGGGAAATGACGCAGACGAGATATCCTGAGTGTGCTTGTGTTCGTTTGATGTTTTGATGTAATATATTATGTATACGAGTGAATGGAAGATGGTTTTTGGCTTTTTTTTTTTTTTTTTTTTTTTTTTTTTTTTTTTTTG